CCCTCCTCCTGCCTCAGTTTCCCCTCTTGCAGCACAACCGCTCTGTGCCAGCAGCTCTGGATGGCTGGAGGCTGCTCCTGAGATTACTCAGCCCTGGGACGCTCTAGTTCCTGGGGAAGGGAGCCTTTGTTCCCAGCGTTTTCCGCCCCCTTGCCTGCAAAGCCAGGGTGTTCCCATGTCAGGGAGCTGGATCACCAGCGGGGCTGGATGGAGGCAGGTCTCCCCCAGTACCAGGGGGAGCCGGGGGTCAGCGGGCTTTGGCTGTGCCCTCTGTGCCGCCGCCAGCTCCTCGCTCAGTGTCTGCCGCTCTGCTGTCTCCCCAGAAACACCCCGACTTCCCCAAGAAGCCCCTGACTCCCTATTTCCGCTTCTTCATGGAGAAGCGGGCCAAATACGCCAAGCTTCACCCCGAAATGAGCAACCTGGATCTCACCAAGATCCTGTCCAAGAAATACAAGGAGCTTCCCGAGAAGAAAAAGGTACGGGGGGAGCCAGCAAGCCCCTTCCCACTCGTGTCCCTCCGCGTGCTGGGCTCTGCCTGCCCAGCTCTCCCAGTAAAACCAGCAGAACCCAGCCTCTACCTGGTGAGGGTTTAATCCGGCTTTTGATGGGAGAAACCCAGGCACTTGTTTAGTCCCGTCAGACCAGTAAGACTTCCTTTCCTTTTCCTGTCCTGGTTCCCAGGATCCATGGGGTGGAGGCTGGCTGGGTCTGTCCGTTGGTCCGTCTCTTCCAGACGGACCCGGCTGGTGACTTTGCTGTGGGGTGGGTCTGTATTTAATGCTGGGGTGAAGTCACACGCCCCGCCATGGCTGCCCTATCCGAGCGAGGAGCTGAGGGGCAAGCTCTGCTCCGGGCCGTGGGAGATTCTGGGAGGAGAGCTGCCAATCCCACCTCCAGCTCTGGAGGTGGCCTTGGGCTTGGCCAGAGCCCAGGCAGCCGTTGCGGGTGCCCCAGCTCTCAGTCTGAGTGGATTTGCCACCATCGGGAAAGGTCCAGGGCACAAAGTCCTGCTGTGCCCTCTGGCCCAGGACTGCCTAGGGCTGCTCGGGTGCAAGGAGAGGGGGGAGATCCTGCCTCTGAATCCCTGGGCAGGCTGGAAACGCTCAGCTGGGAGCTGCAGGACCAGTCGGATGGGCTGGAGAGCCACAGGGTCCCGCTGGGGGCGGTGGGTGCCCAGCTGGCAGGGTTGACAGGGTTGTATCTGCCTGCCCGTTCCCTGGTGCTGACGTCCCTCTCCACCTTCCTGGTGGCTTTGTGTCCCCAGATGAAATACATTCAGGACTTCCAGCGAGAGAAGCAGGAGTTTGAGAGGAACCTGGCGAGGTTCAGGTGAGCAGGCAGCCCCCCAGCATTTCCCCAGCCCCTCCAGGCAGACCCAGTCTCCCCTCCTGCGTGTAGCTCACGGAGGAAGCCCTGATGGGCACTGCAGCTTGAAGGCAGAAGGGAAGGAGAGATGCTGGGAAAAAAAGAGTAAGGAAAAGGTGTCTGAGAGCAACCCTCCAGCTGGGAGACTCAGCAAGGGGAGAGAGCAGAGGACCAGGCGTGCTCCGGGGGTTAGGGTCTGCAAGGGGAGGACAGGAGCCCTGCCGCTGGCACTGTTAAAAGCCAAAGTGACCGTCCTGTTCCCCCCTAGACCTTCCCTTGGAACATGGTCGCTGGGACCCAGGTGGATCCTGGTGTTCCCAATGGCCTGCCGCTGCTCCATGGATGCAGCCCAGCCCGGTGCATTAAAGGGGATGCTTGTAGCTGATGCTCCTCCAGGAGGGGCAGGCTCGAGTCTCTCCGAAAAGCCTCCTGCTCTTTTTGGGGTCCCCCCCCAGTATCTGAGCCCATGGAGGCTCAGCCCTGCAGTGGCAGTTACCCCTGAAGGGGGGAGGTTTAGGGGGCGCTCTCCTTCCACCTGCAACCTCCGTAACGCTCTCCCTTCCCCGCCTCCCTGCCGGGTAAAGGGAAGATCACCCGGATCTCATCCAGAACGCCAAGAAATCCGACGTCCCTGAAAAACCCAAAACCCCCCAGCAGCTGTGGTACAACCACGAGAAGAAGATCTACTTGAAAGTGCGTCCAGATGTGAGTACGGTGGGTGGGAGTGCGTGTGAGAGTGAGTGTCGAGGGGTCCTGTACCCCGCTGCTGGGGGGAGAGGAGGGGGAAAGGAGAGAAGCATTTTAGCGGGGGGACGGGATGGACGACACCGCTAGAAGCTCCCAGCAGTCTGGACGGAGGTAAGAAGGGGCTCTGCACATCTGGAAGAGGCTCGGGGATACAGACCCCCACTTTTTGCCTGCAGTCGAAGGGGTGACCACAGCCTGAGTCAGGGCAGGAAAGGTTTCCAGCACAGACATCCACCTCTGGCCATGCCCCACACTCGCACGCACCCCCTTCCCCGGCCGCGAGCTCGGCTCGCAGCTGCCCCGGTGGCCCCAAGCCGGGTGCCACCGGGAGAAGACAGTGGGCAATGCTATTTTTGCCTTTTTTTTTTTCCCCCCCTCTTCTTTTTTTGGATTTTACCCCTCTGCCCTCACCTCTGGCTTTGGGTTTTCAGGCCACCACGAAGGAGGTGAAAGAGTCGCTGGGCAAGCAGTGGTCTCAACTCTCGGATAAAAAGAGGCTGAAATGGATTCATAAGGCCCTGGAACAGCGGAAGGAGTACGAGGTAGGGAGCAGCCTCGCCCGTTCCCCTCCACACTCGTCCCTATGTTCACTCCGAGCCACTCTGCCTCCCGGCTGCTAGCCGCTAGCGGCTCGCCAGCCTCACCCGATAGCCAGCATGGGGGTTCAGCCAGATCCCTGCAGGTCCCTAGTGAGTCTGAGCCCTGCCTCCTCCAGCAACGTTCGGGGAAGGGAGAAGTACCCCCGGGGAGACGATTAGGACAACGGTTGGCTTCTCTTTCCTCCTCCTCCGGCCCCCAGCCAGGCGGGGATGGGAGCCCCTCTCCTGACTGCTCTCCGTCCTTTGCAGGAGATCATGCGTGACTACATCCAGAAGCACCCCGAGCTGAACATCAGCGAGGAGGGCATCACCCGCTCCACCCTCACCAAGGCTGAGCGCCAGCTCAAGGACAAGTTTGATGGACGACCCACAAAGCCACCTCCGTGAGTCTGTCCCTCCCTGTCTGGGTGCGAGGGACGTGTCCCTCTCTGAGCTGTTGCCTCAGGCTCTTGGCCAGTTCGGGCAGATGCTGGTTCTTGCTGACAAGGAAACTGGGGCTCTGCCTGGCTTTGAGAGCCCAAATCATTTCTGGGACCGTGGGCGTGGGCTGTCGATGGCCCCATTAAACTGGCCCTTAAATATGCATTAAATACACATTTGCAGAGCACCTGAGCAAGGTTTATGGTGATGCTGCATGCCCCAGGTTAGGGGGTCATCCAACACCTAGCTTCCCTAAAATGCAGACACCTCCGGCACAGCGCTTCACTGCCCGGTGCAACCCAGGGGGCAGCTGGGGAGTCCTGGGGGGGCTCTTAGCATCCAGCCAGCTCTGCAGAGGGGACGTGAGCGGGGCAGGTTGTCCCTAATGCTGGGTCCCTCCATCGGTTATAGGAATAGCTACTCCCTGTACTGTGCAGAGCTGATGGCCAACATGAAAGACGTGCCCAGCACCGAGCGGATGGTGCTGTGCAGCCAGCAGTGGAAACTGCTATCCCAGAAGGAAAAGGATGCGTACCACAAAAAGTGTGATCAGGTGAGTGGCCAAGAAAGGACGGGCGGGTGGGCACCAGTGCTATGGGGAGGGGGGAGTAGGATGGGAGAGCTTGGGCTACAAACCTCGCTGGAAATGAGCCCCTCGCCCTTCCTCAGTGCCTGTTCTTGTCGTCTTGGCCACCAATTCCCCCTGAGGTCCTCGGTCACCTCCCTTGGTCCTCTGTCTCCCCAGTCCGTGTGTGTGGGCCCAGCAGACAGTCCGGGTGGAGGATGCTGTTGCCGAGGGGGCTGAGGCTGGGCTGGGGGCTGCAGGAGGCGGGGATGGGGCAGGGGAACGTCTGTGTAACTGCACTTCTCCATTGCCCTCCAGAAAAAGAAAGACTACGAGATTGAGCTCCTCCGCTTCCTGGAGGTGAGTGACGTGGGGGTGCCTCACCCGTTGGGCGCTGGAGACCCCCAGCGTGGGGAGGGAGCCCTGGCCAGGGGCTGAGATGGGTCAAACGGGGGCTGCACTGGTGCTGCCCTCTTCTGCTCCCCCCAAAACGTGGCTGGACCCAGCCACGGGTGCTGTGCAGAGATGTTTGCACATTGTCTTGACCCTTCTCCAGCTGCCCTAATGCCTGACCCAGTGTCTCCCAGTTGGGCACTGGGAGGTGGGGACAGGCCCCCCCCAGCCGGGAGAGGAAGCTGGGGGTGAGCG